CTTTGCCCTCAGAAGCCATATTGATGGCAATGGATTTCCATGTCAGATGGGGACTTCAGGAGCTCAAAGAGGTTAATGGACTTGGTCCTCCTTACCCAGGAAGTCCGAGGAAGGCTGACCCAGAAGGACACTGCTCAGTATTCCTGTGGCCCATTAGAGTCTGTCTTAGTTAAGGCTGGAGGATAGCAAGCTCCCATGTGCCGTTAAAAGAAATGCTCCCCAGGATGCACAGGCTGTGGCATGTATGAAATTTCACACCTTAAAGATGGCACTTCTGTGTGTGTCCAAGACTGCTTTCCTGCCCGTTCTGGTGTCTGAAAGTATGAGAGTATGAGTCATTCTATCCCAAGACCTTTATCATAAATTATTTAATTTATTCTCCAGGCACACACATGAAAATTTCTCCATTTTGTTAATCAACTAGGCAGTCACAGAAATTATGTTGGGTCTTTTTTTTTTGAAGTACCTTCTTTTACCTAATGACAAAGGCATCATATGTTTATTATTTAAACAAAAAACAACAGGAAGGCAGAGAGAAGAAAAGAACTTAAGCTTCCTGTAATTCCATCACTTAGACATACGATTGACATTTTGTGGGAATTACTTTTAGTCTTCATACATATTTAATTTCGGGATAAAATGGGGATCATACAACTTCCCATAATTTATGCAATTTATATTCTGTTTTATTTACAGAGAACATTGCATTGTGAGTTGTTAACATGCTCTTGTGATGGCAAATAGTTTTCAAAAGAAATTATTTTTTAATGAGTACATAATGCTTTAGCAAGTGAATTAACCATAATCTATTTAACTAGACTCTGTTTGAACATTTAATTTGTCCAGCATTTTGCTATCATAACATCGACTTTAGTGAACTTTCTCATATGAATAATATTTGCCTACCCAGGATTATTTCCTTAGAATAAATCTCTAGGGGGAGAATGGTTGAATGGAAAGGAATGAATTCTTCAAAGTCCTGTGTTCTCCAGAAGATTTGTCCAAACCTCTATCGCATCAGATACATCTGCGTGAACATTTAGTTCCCTGAGTCATTGTGTGTATATGTGTGTGTGTGTGTATGTACATCTGTGTATGTCTGTCTCTGTATGTGTCTTTGTGTCTGTGTCTGTATATGTCTCTGTGTGTGTGTCTCTCTGTGTGTATATGTCTGTGGGATTTTTTAAAATTATTTATTTAAACAGGACCTGTCACTCACCTGAAACTCACCAACTAGCTAGATTGACTACCTAACAAGTCTTCAGGATCTGCCTGTCTCTCAGTCTTGTTTTAACATTATTTGAGCATCTGTGAATTTAATTAAAACAAGCCTTACCATACCATACATTTGGGGTGGGAAGAAATATTCTTACAATCTTTAGCTCTTTTTCTCTTTTTTAAAAAATATTTTATTATTTTTATTTTATGTGTGTGTTTTGCCTGCATGTTTGTAAGTGCACCACTTGAGCACAATGCCATAT